AAAATTCCCCAAAAATCTCCCCAAAACCACCCCCAAAACCTCCAAAAAAATCCCCAAAAATCTCCCCAAAACCACCCCCAAAACACCCCTAAAAAATCCCCAAAATCTACTTGAAAACACCCCCAAAATCTCCAAAAAAACACCCCAAAATCACCCCCAAATCTCCAAAGAAAATCCCCCAAAAATCTCCCCCAAAACACCCCCAAATTCTCCAAAAAACCACCCCCAGAATCTCCAAAAAACTCCCCAAAAATCTCTTCAGAAACACCCCAAAAATCCTCCCCAAAACACCCCCAAAAATCACCCCCAAAATCCTCCCAAAAATCACCCCAAAATCTCCCAAGAACATCCCCAAAACGACTCCCAAAAATCTCCTCAAATCCCCCCAAATCCACCCCAAAAATCTCCTGGAAAACCCCCATTTCACCCCAAAAATCTCCTGGAAACCCCCCCACCCAAAACCCCCCAAAAAACCCCCCAAAATCTCCTCAAACCCCCAAAAATGTCCCCAAAAGGTCCTGGCAGGGGTGTAAAACAACCCCAGCCCCGTCCTGCCAATGGACCCCGGGAGGGACCAGGACCTGGGGGGGTCACTGGGGGGTCACTGGGGGGTCACTGGTCCATACTGGTCTGTACTGGTCCGTACTGGGGCACTCACCAGGGCGGTGGCCAGGCCCTGGATGCCCAGCAGGGTCCTGGCAGGGGTGTAAACCCCAAATCCCAGCACAGCAATCAAGACATGGGGTGACACTGGGGGTGACTCTGGGTGACACTGGGAGTCACTGGTCCATACTGGTCCATACTGGTGCGTACTGGGGCACTCACCAGGGTGGTGGCCAGGCGCAGGATGGCCAGCAGGGTCCTGGCAGGGGTGTAAACCCCTAATCCCTGTCCTGCCAATGAACCCTGGGGAGGGACCAGGACCTGGGGGTGACACTGGGGGGTCACTGGTCCGTACTGGTCCATACTGGTCCGTACTGGGGCACTCACCAGGGCGGTGGCCAGGCCCTGGATGGCCAGCAGGGTCCTGGCAGGGGTGTAAACCCCCTCCCATGCCACCAGGTAACCCTGGGACCAGGGCACTGGGGAGTCACTGGGTAACACTGGGGTGACACTGGGGGGTCACTGGCCCATACTGGTCCGTACTGGTCCGTACTGGTCCACACTGGGGCACTCACCAGGGCGGTGGCCAGGCGCAGGATGGCCAGCAGGGTCCTGGCAGGGGTGTAAACCCCCAAATCCCAGCAGGTAACCCTGGGACCAGGGCACTGGGGAGTCACTGGGTGACACTGGGGGGTCACTGGTCCATACTGGTCCATACTGGTGCGTACTGGGGCACTCACCAGGGCGGTGGCCAGGCGCAGGATGGCCAGCAGGGTCCTGGCAGAGGTGTAAACCCCAAATCCCTGTCCTGCCAATGAACCCTGGGGAGGGACCAGGACCCGGGGACACACACTGGGGGGTCACTGGCCCATACTGGTCCATACTGGTGCGTACTGGGGCACTCACCAGGGCGGTGGCCAGGCGCAGGATGGCCAGCAGGGTCCTGGCAGAGGTGTAGAGGCCGTCCCTGCTGCTCCAGGCCTCCCTCCTCATCTCCACGTAGGCGGCCGTGATGAAGTCGCCCAAGGCCTCGGGCACTCGCGGCTCCCGGCGCTTGCACATGGCCAGGTAACGTCTGGGGGGGGTCAGGGGGGGTCAGGGGCACCCCAAAAAACACCCCCGGGGGGG